AGTTCCTTATACCCTCAGGCAACTTTTCTGGTTCTTGGTTATGCATTATAAAAGAAGAATTATAAAGAGCATTATATACGAAAACACTTAAAGTAAGCATCTTTAATAAAAATTTGTTTTTTGTTAATTTGTTTGTTGAAAAGCCTCGTGAGGAAGCACAGTGGGCAGGGTGTCTCTGGAGATCTCAATATAGTTTGTTAGGAGAGAGAGTAAAATGAGTAGCATTTTGTGACTCCACAATTTGGAGGAATTTGGAACTCAAGTTTTTTTTCTCACAAGAAGAAAATGATACTGCACAGAAATCTCCACATTTTACTTCCTTCTTCGATAAAAGAAACAAATAGGTAACTCTTCCATCTAAACATTGAACTTTCAGAGTTAGTGCATATTTTCAGGGAGTTTCAGCCTTTTTGCCTAAAATCACTCTTTGGAGGCATTTGGAACATAAGTACGGTTTCTAACCAGAAGAAAATGATAAAACACAGAAGTGAGAAATATTTGTCTTTTACAAACATAACATATAAGAAACATAACATATAAGTAATTATTTCATCTAAACTTTAATAGTCAGAAGCTACTGCAGAGAGTCCCACAGGGCTAGGTAAAATGGTGTTAATTTCCTTAAGTAAGAGTGTGCTACGGGGCAGGAAAAATAACAGGTTTCCCCACACACATACACACAATTTCTCTTGGAGAAATTATATGACCCATGTCCCTTCCTCTGAATGAGGCTACCCATTAATCATCTTAAAACTAGAGCTGAATCATGTACTAAGATGCTGACACATGTCAACATCTGTCATGACAGTCAATCAAAAAATTATCCTTAATTTCCAGTCACCATATATTTTGTTCAGAGTAGTTTAGCTTTTTCTGGTCCTGTTTCTCTGTTCTGTCTACTACATGAAAGAGTTAACATATCTTCTTAAGATTCTTTTTATTGTTGTCTTGACCTCCTTGTTCTGGAGACTGTAGATGAGAGGATTGAGCATGGGAGTGATCACACTGTACTGTAAAGGGAAGATAACTTCTAGGGAGGAGCCTGAGGTTGGCAAGAGATAGCTAAGGAAGCCAGATCCATAGAACAGAATCACAGTAGTGAGATGGGAGGAGCAGGTGGAGAAAGCCTTGCTTCTGCCAGAAGTGGAGCTGATATTCAGGATGGCGGAGACAATGCGGATGTAAGAGAAGACGATCAAGATGAACGTTCCAAAGAAGTGAAAGACAGAGGAGCAGAGGAGGAGCGTGAAGTTTATGGAGGTATCAGAGCAAGACAGAGGGAATAGAGAAGACAGCTCACAGCTGAAGTGGGGGATAATTTTGTCTTCACAATAATCTAAGTTCATAGCGAGAAGTATATTGATGAGTGCATCAACAAAAGCCAGGCACCATGAGCCCCACACCAGCCCGACACAGAGCTGATTGCTTATTACCTGGCTATAGAGCAGAGGGAAGCTGATGGCTACATAGCGGTCATAGGCCATCACAGCTAACAGACAAGCTTCAGTGCCCCCAGTGGCAAACACAAAGAAGGCTTGAGCCAGGCAGTTCTCCACTAAGATGGTTTTACTTTTCGAAAGTAGATTCTCCAGCATCTTAGGGACTGTAACAGATGAGTGGCAGAGGTCCACAAAAGATAGTTGTCCCAAAAAGAAGTACATGGGTGTGTGAAGGTGGGAATCAGATCTGACCACCAGCAGCATCACCAGATTTCCCATCAAGGTCAGAAGATAAATCACCAGAAACAATATGAAGAGAAGAATTTGGGTCTGAGGTTCAGCAGATAGTCCAAGGAGGATGAACTCACTAAACATGCTGTGGTTTCCCATAGTGATAAAAAGATTAATCCTGGGAACCCAAGAAAAAAGAGATATCAAAAGTCTCTTTGTGACTTCCAGTCACCCTAGAGCCATAGACTTTTACTCCTAGACATCATTTCATGAATATACTAAAAACTATATTTATCTATCTTTAATCTAACTTCTTACTCATCGTGATGATAGTTTTGGTATTTTTGGATGACAGTCCACCACATGGCATTATATATCATTCCCTATGTAGTTATGTCCTTCAGGGGCATAATATCATATTAATATAAGGACATTTTTGTATATTGATTGGGAGTAGAGAGATCATTTGTTGATTCAACAGAGTAAGATGTTACTATCAGAGGTAAAATCTTCAATAAAGTAACAATGAATGATTCAGAGCACAAGTGGAATTTTGTTCACAGGTAGCAAGAGCGGCCCTTTATCTATTGTAAATAGGGAAGGTAAAGAAAGTGAGGACTGGAAGCAGCTAGGAAGCTTGATAGTGGACTATGAGAGACTTTACCACTTATTGCTACAACATTTTTGGTATAATGTGAACAGAGTCCCTATTTATCAACCATCAGCCTCTCTATTTACTTGTCTATCTATCTATCTATCTATCTATCTATCTATCTATCTATCTATCTATCTATCTATCTATCTATCTATCTATCTATCTGTCTGTCTGTCTGTCTGTCTGTCTGTCTGTCTGTCTGTCTGTCTGTCTGTCTGTCTGTCTGTCTATCTATCTATCTTTGTGTGTATAATGTGTATTTTCAGTGAGGTGGTGGCGAGGGATTTTGATGATCTAAGAACACAAATGTTAAGTACCTAAAGTGAAGGACTAATTTACTAATGAAATACAGTAGGATCAACTGTTAATACCTTTGCCATTTGGGATATGATATAATTATCTCTAATAGTATCTAGCTGATGAAGCACATGTGTGGAATAGACATATATCTGCTTTTAAACATTTCCCCCCAGTAAGCATGCAGTAATAAAGGAAAAAGAGTCAACAAAAAAGCATGCTAGAGGCCCTCCCTGGTGGCGCAGCGGGTTAAAGCACAGCACTGAGAATCTAGAGCCGCTTCCGCATGAGTTTGATTCCCGCCTGCCCCGGAGGTGACCACATGGCGTGGCAGACCTCTCCTGACCTGCCCGCTGCTCCCCTCAGCAGTGTACTTCGTCGATCTGCCTGTTCTGCTCCCCACTCTGTCTCTGGTGAATCCTCTCACCCTCCGCATCTCTGGCCTGTACCCCAGTTCTGTATGAATAAATAAATAAATCTTAAAAAAAAAAAGCATGCTAGTAAACTGAATGAATTACAGAAACAAGGCTGGGTAAGAAATTACATGGGGGACATGCAGATGACTGTGGCAAAGTCTAGGTCTAGCTTCTGTAGGAATACTAGAGTAAGGATATTGTAAATTTTGTATTGTCATTAGATGGAGGAATGCTTGAATTTCAAAATTTGTAGGTATTGTAAGTGTTGATGATGATAGGGTGATTTTTGTTACTGGGGGAGCAGGAAGATGAGCTGGAAGATTCAGTCTCTGCTATGGTAGAAGACCAAGTTTAGGGAACTAAATTAGCACAGTAAAGATTTTTTCTTTTTAAAATTTTTACTCCACTTTCTTTAATGGAAATTAAAAATTTAAATTTAAATAAAATATAATGTAAACATTTTAGCCCAGGATAAATAGGTGATGAGAACATTAAGTGTGCTGTTATGGGAAGCATCTACTTGCATTTGATCTGAAAAGCTGGAATAGATGATATCTGGTCACATAGTCCAGGTCCTGTTGTATGACCAAACTGTCCCATCAATATCTCAACCTGTTTTTGCAGTCTACTTGTTGACTTAGTCTACATTTTCACATTCTAAAACTTGTACCTCCTCTCCTGCTTTGTTTTGACACCCTTGATTTGTAACCACAGACTCAAGATAATTATTCTGAGATGCTGTCCAAGTAGGACCCATCATGTTCTTTCCTTCTGACTCAAGACAACTATGTTCAGCTAATCAAAGGGAATTAAGGCTTATTTTCCCTTGACTATTATCCAAATTCCAACTAAGTTCAATTACCTGTCTGAATAACCAGTAGCACAAGGTGGTGCAACAATATTTGGAGGTCCAATGTCAGGTTATTCATAGCCAGGAAAAATTATTCAACTTGTTAGCTTTGAGAATCCTGTAGTAGAGCAGAATTGGGAAGAAATCATTTGAAAAATATTATTTATATTCAAATGTATGCTGACATTTAAAAAACTATACATATTATTATTTCAGTATATAAATATTTATTTCCAGTTATTTGAAGAATGTATTATGGAAATTATGGCTAAATATTTCATATTTCACTCATTAGTTGAGATCAGATCAATGTCTACTCAGGCTCTTGGTGTGCAGATCACCACATAACCCATAGAGTGTGGGTGAAGCAGCTGTTAGAGAGTAGAACTCAGGGTGTGGAAGGAAGAGATTGCTATGCCTCTGTAACATGATTTCAGGGCAGTACACGTACAGGGCTTACCATCCCTACTTACTAAATCCAAAAGATTATTGCAATAAAGTGAAAGACAGGATAAACTTGTATAGTATTGCACTCAAAAATACAGTGGCAGGAAGAATCCACCCAGAGGATTAAATTCAGAATACAGAAGTATATTAAATACTTAATTTAAATATATTAAATTAATCAATACATTAAATATATAATATATTAATTAATATGTTAAATTAATTAATATATTAAATTAATTTAAATATATTAAATTAAATACAGAAGTATAATTCAGGTCTCTTTAGGAGTTTGTAAAATGTCAGGATTCGCTCAAAATATTTAAATAAGTAAAATATTAAAATAAATGATTTGACTGTGGGTGATGAATAAAATATTACTACTGGTGATTTATTTCTCCTGCTATTTATAACCATAAAATGCTAAAAACTTTAGAAAGGATAACAATAGTTTTGTGGGCATACATCAATAACATTACATAAGAGCTAACTAGATTTCATCCAAAGGAAAAGCAGCTAAGGACTGTTCACTGTAGAATAAAATATGACTTTATTTCATAATGTGGATTAGAAAGTAATAGGAAAGAATATTATAATATGTGCTTGAATGAGTGAGAGCAAGAAGAGAATATGATCCAGCATTTTATTGATTTTTGGAAGACAATATGATCACAAAGGACCTCGAAGCCTTGGGTTTACGAGAAGGCATCTGTATGAAAAAACTAAAACCAGAGTAATGGGGTATTGAAGACAGACATTACCTATGTAATAAATTTTACCCAGGTTATGCTTTGATCTTGCCCAAACCTAGACCATTTCAAGATTAATTACAGATAAAAAAAAAAACTCTGAAGGTCATAAGATTGTAGTTGATGAGGAGACAATTTAAAACATGAGAAATAGAAGTTTCCTAATGTTCTATCATATTACTATCTTGGCTGCTCTCAGAGGGTGGACTCAGCTTCTCCAAGATAAAATACAGACTTTATGCCTGATACTCAATATGTATAGCAGAATGTTGCAATTTAAAAATGGATATATGTGTTTTGTAACCTTATTATTTCACTTAATATAAGTTTCACTTTGTAATGTTGTTTAATCTTTTTAATGATAAGTTCTTCACCTCTAAATTGAGTAAACTTGGGGGAAATAATATATCTTATATCTGGGAGGATTGAATTAGCTGTTTCATTAAAAACTGCAAACAGGGTTTCTAGTTTATTGTAAAGATTAATACATCAAGGAAAAAGGGAAATAGAAAAGTGATAAGTGGTGTTTCAGAGCATATAAAGGATGGGATAAAATAAGGCTGCATTGCAGAAGAACTGTCTCTTGGCCTATAGATGGTATCTGGCCTGAGAATAATGAGGAGAAGGAAGGCTTCAAAGGGAAATAAAATATCTTAGAAAGAAAGAATAGAGGGATGGAGCAAAGGTGGGAAAAAGAAAAAAAAAAAAGCTCCTTAAGGGATCGGTTAGGAGAGGACAAAAACATCAGCAGATTCAGTAGAATCTTATACTTTTGACTTCTGTCCAGTTATATTCTGGAACTTTAAGTTGATAGGTGACAAGACCAAGGATCAGGTAGTCATTTAAAGAATATGCACATAAACTCTTAGTTATAGGAATAGGTATAATTTGCTCTCTAGGAGGGTAAGAAAGATGGAATAATAAAATAAAATAGCTTATTAGTCCAGGCTTTAAAAAGCATTTCATTTGCAGAGAAATTGTTCAGAATCTTACCCCATCTGGTTTTGAAGAAAAGGCATAAAAAATATCTTGAAATTGTCATGTTCTGGACAGGTTACTGTTATATTAATTTCTCTCATATTTTATCAAGCTTGATCTGTGTCAAAAGCTGAGTATACATCATTGGTTCACACAATACCTCTATGACTCTAAATATCTTACTGATACGTTTTTGAACAAAAGACTGACGGCTAGCCAATCAGAAGGGCAGTTGGTTAGGTTGAACTAAGAAGCTCAGGGGACTTGCTCAATAATCTATATTTTTGGCAGTTATAGCATCAATCAGAATTCCATACTCATTTGCTAAGAAGCTTGAATTCTTAAAAACGGCCTAGGGGATTTTCTCATATGAGCTTCGCAACTTGTGAATTGAAGCAATCAGCATGAACTCAGATGAGCTTTCTTGATAGTCTACTGGGAACTGAAGAGAGGCAAGGTTAGGTAGAAAGAACTTTGAACTGAGAGAAAAAAAAAAAACCCAGAATTTTCCCTTAGGAACACACAGGCCATATAGACTCTCAGACAATTCACTTTGGGATATGAAAAGAGACTCTTAAATATAACTCTCAAATTATTTTTTGTGTGTGTATGAGATGGACTTATTTATTCAGTAGGATTTGCTATTAATCGATATTAATATTAATAAAATTATATATAAATTTAAAATTTATTAAATTAGTAATTATTTAAATTAAAAATTATTTAAATTAAATTAAATTAATTAAATTGCTAATTAAATTAGTAATTTATTATGCAAGAATATATGTTGGTTAAATATGCAGGCAGGACATATGATCTCTTTTATTCTTATCTTCCCTCATAAGCTAATGGGGAAGAAAAGTCCAGTTGTTAAGGAGACATTGTCTAACCACACCTAGTAAGTAGAGAAATATTCATAGAATCCTGTCTCGTTGTACTGTGAAGTGCAAGAATAACCCTGCCATTTTTGGATGCCAAGGAATTACTATAGTTGTCAAGTGTTTTCTATAATTCACTTTTTCCTATGAGTTACCTGGAAAAAGTTCACATGCCCTATTGGTAAGGCTGGCACAAAAGTTCAAGATATTTATATAAAGTTATTCAAAGCATGTGATATCATTTATAATAGAAAATAAATTTGAAAACAACCCAAATATCTGTCAGAATTCTTTGGTAGAATGATGGATGGAGCTGGAAAAGATCATGCTTAGTGAGATAAGCCAGAAAGAGAAAGAAAAATACCGGATGGTTTCACTCATAGCAGGAGTATAATGGACCAGGCGGGAAAATAACAAAAATAATGAACAACCATATACCAGAGACATTTTGTGGGGGTGGAGTGGGGAATGGGATCAAAAACAGGGTGGGGGGAGGGAAATGCACGGGATTATGGTGATGGCACATGGGTGACTTGGTGATGGGAAACCCGCGGGGATTACAATTGAGATGGAAAAAAATGTACAAAATGATGTAAAAATAAACTTTTGTAATAAAAAAAATAGTCAGATAGTGCTTCCCACTGTAGCAGCCATTCCCCAGGAGCACCAGAATAACAAACAAACAACACCATAGTGGCAAGGCAGGGATTTTGTGGCAGAGACCTCAGGAGACCTTGGCAGAACTGAAGGAAAATAGATCCCACAGTCAAAGGTGAGCTGAAAAGTTTGTATGACCCACACTCATAGTGATCCAGAACAGAAAGCACTTTCTGCCACTGCTACACCCATTCCCCAGGACTTCAAGATAACAAAAGTGGCAGGGAAGGGATTTTGTGGTTGAGACCTCTGCAGAACAGAGGGAAGGCAGATCCCATAATCAGAGGTGAGGTAAAGGGTGCCTGTGACCCAAGCCTGGTATCCCTTCGTAGTCAGGAGCAGAGAGTGCTTCCCACTGAGGTCCTCCAGCGCTGGGAAGACAAACACCCAGTGCCATAGTGGCAAAGCAGACTTAAGGGTGGGAACTCCAGGAGACCTCTGCAGAACTGAGCAACGGGAGGACACAACAGATGGAGGTGAGCTGAAAATTCAACAAATCAATGAAAAGAAAATAAAAGCCATATAATCACTCAATAGATTCTAAGAAAGCATTTGACAAAGTCCAACATCCATTTATGATGAAGGCCTTTGAAATTCTTAGGATAGAAGGAAAACCTTAACATGATAAAAGTCATATATGACAAACCCACAGCCAGTATTATTCTCAATAGTAAAAAACTGAAGGCCTTTCCTTTAAGATGAGGAACAAGAAAAGGATTCCATTCTCACCACTACTCTTCAGTATAATACTGGAAGTGCTTGCCAAAGCAATAAGATAAGAAAGACATACAAGGAATCTAAATAGGGAAAGAAGAATTAAAAGTATCACTATTTTCATATGATATGATAATATAGAGAGAAACCCTAAAAACTCCACAGAGGAACTACTCAAAATAATCAACCAATTTAATAAAGTAGCAGGATACAAAATCAACACACAAAAATCAATAGCCAAATCAGTACACAAACCATCAATCTAAAAAAGAAGAAATCAAGAAAACCATCCCTTTTAAACCATCCCTTTTAATATTGAAACAAAAAAAAATCAAATACATGTTAATAAACCTCACAAAAAAAGTGAAGTACCTATGAAAGAAAACTATAAAACACTATTAAAAGAAACAGAAAAAGACACAAGGAAATGGAAAAATATCCCCTGCTTATCGACTGGAAGAATTAACATTATTAAAATGGACATCCTGCCAAAAGCAATGTACAGATTCAGTGTTATTCCAATAAAAATCTAAATGGCATTCTTCAAAGAAATAGAACAAATAATGCTGAAATTAATAACCACAAAACACCCAGAATAACCAAAGCTCTACTTGTAAAAACAAAGGAGAATGGAGGCATCACACATACAAACTTCAAACTATACTTCAAAGTCATAATAACTAAAACAGTGTAGTACCGGAACAAAAGCAGACACACAGACCAATGGAATCCAAAAAATATCGCAGAAATATATGGGCATTTAATCTTTGACAAAGAAGCAAACAACATGTAATTGAACAAAAACAATTTATTCAATAAATGGTGCTAGGAGAACTACATAATCAAAAGACTGAATCCTGACCACTGCCTCATACCATGCACAAAAATCAAATCAAAATGGATAAAAGAACTGAACATTATAGAACAAAATGTAGGTAAAATATGTGAGGCATACATCCAGTAACATCTTTAAAAACTCATTAGCCAAAGAAAAGAAAATGAAGGAAAAGATAAATACCTGGGGCTTTGTACAGCAAAAGAGACATTAACGAAAACAGAGACACCCTACTGACTGGGGGAAAAAACTTCATACCCCATAAAATGGATAAAGGAATGATCACAAAGATATATGAAGAACTCACATGACTCAAATGACTAAAAAAATAAATAAATAAACAAAATAACAGTCCAGTCAAGAAATGAGCAGCAACATGGATGGAGCTAGATGGGATCATGCTCAGTGAAATAGACAGAAAGAAAAAGAACAATATCAGATGATTTCTCTTACAGAAAGAATAAAGGGGAACCATATAACACATATGAAAGATAACAATAATACAAAACAAAAACAAAGAAAAAATTATAAACCAGAAACATCCTGCAGGGGAGAGAGTGGGATCAGAAGGAGAGAGGGAGGAGCACAGGAATCTGTGGTGATGATGCACAAGGGAATTGAGGAAAGAAATTCTATGGGGTTTGCACCTGAGGGTGAGAAGTAAACATTTTTTTTTATTACAAAGTTTATATTTACATCATTTTGCACATTTTTTTCCATCTCGATTGTAATCCCCGCGGGTTTCCCATCACCAAATCACCCCTGTGCAACCACCATAGTCCCGTGCATATCCCTCCCTTCCCTCCCCCCCATTTTTGATCCCATTCCCCATCCTCTGGTATATGGTTGTTCATTATTTTTGTTATTTTCTCGCCTGGTCTATTATACTCCTGCTATGAG